AAAAATCGTATAAAATAAAATAATTTATTTTATTTTATTATTTCATTATAAATTGCATCAGATATATGATGATAAAACTTATTTTTTTTAATTGCAACTCTACTATTTTTCTAATATTACCTTTTCTATAAATATTTATAAATTATTGTGATTTTTGTGTATATTTTTAAATTGTAATTAAAAGAACTGAATCTAATGCTTTAGAAAAAATTTATTATAATCTAACCTATGTGTAATTATAATATTTTTGTATATTCTTTTGCTATACCTTAATATATCTTTATATAATGTATTTAAGTTAAAATATATAAATGATAAAAAAATAATTCTTATAAATTTGTTATCACATAATTTTTTCAATTTTAGTTTTTATAATTAATTTTAAATAAATTTAACTTAATATAATTTTATCAATATTGAAGATATTGAAATTCTAATCTAAGATTCTTAAAGCACAGGTTATGATTTATTTATTTTATAGATTAAATCTTCAATTTTATATATAATAATATTTTTTTTTGCATTTTAAATTTGTTTCATTTTTAATATAGCAAAGTTTCTATTATAGAAGTTTTGCACTATATATAAATATTTTAATTATATAGATTCATAATAAAAATTAAAAATAAATTAGATTAAATAAAAATTAGATTTTAAATATTTGTTAAAATTTGTTATTATATTTACTTATAAATTTATATATTATATTATATATAAAAAATTAAAGTTAATAGTTAAAACTTTAATAAATTTTATATTATATATAATTTTTATAGTTTTAAGTATTACTTTTTTATAAAATTATAAAGTCAATAGTAAAATATTATATTATATTTATATCAATTATAATTATTATTAATAAAATATTATTATATTATATTAGTTATGATTTAAAAATTCATTTACATTAAAGTATAATTTGAGATGAATTAATATATAGTTAGTATCAATTACTTTGTAATAAGATATTATTATAAAATATTATTAGTTAGAATATTATAATATAATAGATCTAGTTGATTTATAACTTTAGAATAGACATATTTGTATTTTATTTATGTGACTAATCTTAAGTTTTAGTTTAGATAAATAGAATTATTTACTTACAATCTAATCAAAGATAAAATAAATAGGATAATTTAATATGAATTCAAAATATATAATAATAATAAATTTATATTTAATTTTTAATTGATTTTTTATTTTTCTTGTAACTGACTTATTTCTTCTCTATTAATTCTTTTTGAAATTTTCAACAATCTCAGTTATTCCAAATAAATATTCAGGGAAGCTACATATTTTTCGAAATGTATTAGATCTGTTAAAAATATTTCATACTGCATAAAATTAAAGCATAGTTTCCTAATTCAATATACCTTTTTGGCAGATCATTTAATAGATGACACATTTATTTTTTCTCACAAATAATGTCATACAATCCTATTATTTATTAATCACATCACGTAATTTTGTTTGTTCTTTTCCAAACGACGTTGATGATAAATTAATTATCGAATGTAATCTTGACATTTTTTTGTGATTTCGTGAAATCAAAAAAATTTGAATATAAATAGGCTCGCAATTTTTTTTAGATTCCCTCATCATCCTATTACTTTCTCGAAAAAAATGAAATAAGTGAAACGTATATCAAAATTTCAAGATGACGTTAATAATATTCCTGTCTAACAATCTAACGACTTTTCCAAAAAAAGGATGATCATGATTTTTATTAATTTGAGATTAATAAAAATTTTTGTAATGAATATTTTTGGCAAAACTGAATAATGCATCATGCAAACTCACAAACCAATACCAACTTGTTTTTTTCACTCTTTACTGGTCTTTTGAATTAAATCTACATTTCGTCACTTTAAAATGTTATGCATTTCTCTTTATTTTTATTTTTTTTTTTATTCGACCGTCGAATCAAATTTTCTCGTTTTATTTTTTGTTGAAAAACATTTGTCTCCCTCTCTTATATCGTATTCGTACTAGATTCATTTTACGTAATCTTTTTAATTAAAAATTAGGTTATTCTCCCTTTCCCTTTTGTGTTTCCTTTCACCAATTATTGTAATTGTTTCTAATTTAATTATCGCACTTTGTTGTATGTTTATTTTTGATATATAATAAATTCGCAAATTTACTTATCGTTATGAAGTTTAAATTAATAAAACCTGATCATTTTCATAAGCATTATACACATTAAAGCAACTTCTGTTACTGGTATTAAAAACATAATTACAATGAAACGATTATTATTCGAGTTTGATATCTCAACTATGGTATCAATTTAAAGAATTAAATTTTCAACCGATTTTAATTATTAAAAAATTTTTATTGGACAAATACATCAGTTTCACTTTTTTTGTATTTAATTATTTAATTATTTCTAAATTTAATTTGACAAACATACCGTTGAATCAATTTTATATACTGGATAGTATTATGACAAAGACGAAAAAGATTTTTTTTTTGCTAAATGATAAAAAAGGCAAATCAGTACCGAACCGTACTGGTTTTATATAAATGTCCTTATATAAACTGATCAAACGATTCGTATCGTACCGTTGCAATATAAATAGATAAATAAACTCTTCCGAAATAACATTGTAATTTTAAGTATTTTACCGTTATTCCATTTTTTTTTTTTGATATAATTGTTATTGGTTCTTTAGTGTTTACATTACATGATATCAGGATCTGATAAAAGTTTTTAATAAAAAGCTAAAGTTAAATGAATTTTAATTATTAGCCTATTTATTATAGGAAATTGATTGTTTCAAATTTGCAAAACAAAAAAGACTTGAAAACAATTTTAATTCAACAATTTCTAGAGTGGGTGAATGAGAAGTTTTACTTTGCATGGTTCCTGAGGAGATATTTATAGTTTTGGTATAATCGTACCACAGTTATTAAGATATATATTAATAATTTATTTAGTTTCTTCCTGAATCAAAAAATTCGGATTATGATAATAAAATACTTATTTATATTATCAAATTTTTAAGTTAGATGCAAGAAAGGTCTAACAATTAAATATTATTAATTAATAAATAAATTTAGTTGAATTATAAAAGAAATACCGCATAAATTCTTTATACGTGAAAGAAGTTAAATAAGTTGGAACAAAATTATTAAATCAATTCTTTCTCACATTACTTGAATAATAATTGAAAACTTTTTTTGAATAATAAAAATATAATAAAAACAAACAACAAATGAATGAAGCATAAAGATTTAAAAGCATTTCTATATTTTTTCGACTATATCGGTATTGTAATTTATTAAATTAGTAAGAAAAAAATAGTAAATAAAATTATACAATTTATACTACTTTAATACAAGACCAATCAATTGAATTCTTCAAATATTTTTTCCAAAGTAAAGCCCTATAACAAATAATAAAAAGCAAATTTTAGTATTTCTACTACTAAGTAGAAAGAGAGAGAACACAAGCACTCGAATTATCAGAGACCCGACCATTGAATCCAACTTGCATTGCTAGACATATCCAGTAGGAAGTCTCGTATGCGGTGACCTATCCTTCAAAAGAACATTAGAGTAGAATACATTGTTTAACCGTATAATACAGTCTACTTTAGTCCAAGAAGCCTTATATGTAACTTCACCAATGAAGTCTGACGTTTGGACTTATCCACTTCGTGTGTTAACCTATTAGCACTTAGTCCAGGTCATTGGCAATTCAAGGCCTCAATCGTAATTGAATCATCAAAGTATAAATTTATTCTCACCATTCTTTCTCGGACTATAATGGGGACGTAGCCAGTGCTGACTTTTTTATGATATAATGACTTTGTTTAGGATACCATGACCAAATTAACCACTCGTTCCCTTTTCGTAAGTCATGGTTACTAATAGTTATTCCAGCGGCTTGGTTGAATTTCTTCACTTTCATTCAGTGTTTAGTTAGTCTAACATCTCGTGAAAATTATTATTAACATTTGGTTACATTTTTTATTACAGAATTAAAAGAGATTTTTCAGAAACAACATCAATGTTTTTATATAGATATTTTAATTAAATTTATTTCATTCAATGGTCCCAGAAAAATGTAAAGCTAGAGGTTTTGATCAAAAAAAAAATAAGTTATTTATCAACTTTTTTTTCTTTGATCTCTTTACTAATGTGTCTCTTACTACAGTACTTGTATTTTCGCGCAATTTCATCATATTTGAATATGCTTTTTAGTCTTTTCCCACCTACAGTACCCTCAAAAGAACATTGATATTTTCGTTGACTTGGTATATACTTAATACTATCCTCATTTTCAAATAAAAACAAAAATACACTTTCTGGAAATGAGTCAAGTGTTATGCGTTTTTTTTTTTAATTGAGTATATATTAAATCCAAGACTCCTTTTCAGACGAATTATTACTGTATCTCGAAAAATTTCTTCGTTCATGGCTCTGGAGTTTTTTCTATTTTAGAACATAGTAGGCAAGGAAAAGTACATGCAGCAGTCATTTTTTAAACAGAAAATTTGACGCATTTTCATGCAAAATCATGCACAGTCGCGTCAGAAAGTGACGCGCCCGATTTAAATTTATATATAAAATTATAAAATTTATTTTCTGGATCTTACAATTAAAATATTAAGTTCCCCCGTTAAATATTATTTTTTATAAAATTATGATAAATTATGCAAAATTTAGAAACAATTATTAAAAGAAATATAAATTTATTTGCATTTAAAATTTTCTACAAATTAAAACCTTTTTTTTAAAAAAAATACAACTTAGCTGGCTATAAAATTAAGAAATAATTATTAAAGTAAATACTAATATGTATATAGCTTGAAATTTTCTATTCTTATATGTTTTATTATAAAATTTGGATCAGATGTCACTTTCTTCAGAAATTGATTAAAATATAAAATTGATTGGCAAATAAATGTAATATGTAGTAAATCATCATGAAAAGATCTAGATCAGTGTTAGTATATTATTAGATTACACTGAACAATTGAATAAGAAAAATGGTGACTATTGAAGACATTAAACAAGAGTTGGCGAAGGCACACAAGGAGTTTAACGAAGCGAAGGCAGAGCTGAAAGGGATTCAGGAGGGGTATGATAAACAATGACTAGAAACATTAAAGGAAAGCTATAGAAAAAGAAGTACAAAGACAAAAAAGAAAGAAGACAGTGGAAGGAGGAGAAGCAGGAGCTTACAGTAGAGTAGAGAAGGCTGGAGAAAGATGTTTAAAAGTGTATAGCACTGGTGAAATTGCTACAGGAGAGACTAACTATAGCACTACAGATAGGTAATAGCTTTGTGACTCAGGCGTTAGGATATAAAGTTGTGTGTATATAAATAATTTATAGTTTCTTACTTATTTTTAATATTATTATATCAACTAACTATCTGATAATTATTGTTTCTATTCTTGATCAGGTGTGAAATGGTCATTCTCACCTTCAGAGCTGAACATACCTTCAACTAAAAGTGTATTTACAAAGAATCCTAATTTGTGTAAGTTTAAATTTTTTCTATCTTGCCAATCTATACTAATAATTTTTCTTTTTCTTTTTTTCAGATTCAGCTTCTATTACTGAAAACATAATTAAACATACTTTCAGCCATAAATGCCTTATCAGCGTTTACTATTTATTGCTTATAAAAAAGATAATTATAAGATAGCAGTTGATGACTAGAAGAAGTTTGCTTTTGTTAAATTATAGAGATTCATCAGGAAACATTTAACATATGCTTACATTATTGACTCACTTTCAGAACTTTTGCAATCACAAATAGATGTTATTGGTACTATTCTTCAGTATAGATCTGTTACAATTACTAAAATGAGATAGAACTACTTATTAATTAATATATATAATTGGCATATTAATACTATTTACTTTACATTTTTGATAAAAGATGAAAATCTGAAACATATTCTCGTAGAAAGAATACTTATAGTTATAGATAATAATTTAGTATCACTAGAAGAATTTTATATTGAATATGCTATTTCTATACTTTGCAGTCTCATGATCGCTCATGTATCTAAATCTATTTCAAAAATATCAAACTAAAACTGACTTTCATTACAAAATATATTAGACGTAAAGTAGTTGTTAGAATATATCATAGAAATAAGTAAAATATATGCAGTTTATGACCAGTCATTAGAATATATAAATCTGATTAATTAAGTCTTCACTCATACAAAACCTGGCTTGGTATCATATCTTTATGTCACAAATCACTAACTCTGATAATTATCTATTAGAATATGTATTTCAATTCAAATTTACTACTATTATGAAATATTTGTCATTTAAAGCTTATTCAGGATTATGTAATCATATTCTATTTGAGGCTAAGAAGTATTATATAGATAATAACTGAAGTAGGCATCTCGATATTTTTGTTCATAACTATCAGCAACCTTAGTACAAGTTTAAACTTCTCGTACAAGAAAATAAAAGAAAAATCAATAAATATTTAAACAAAGCAGAATACTATAGTAAACTGCACAAGTATTATGTTGTCTATATAATTAACCTAATAGATAATGCTAATATTGATCAGAAATAGAACTTGTGAAACTATGATTCATATACATGTAATTTATGATTAAGATAAAAGGACTGCTCTTATCAAATACGAGTATTACCAAAAACAGGTATCTCTTGATAGCTCACAATAAAAAATAGAGTTCAAAAAAAGAAATTTAAAAGTTTGTGACTACCAATTAGCATAATTAGACTGAAAGAAACTAAAGTTAAAGCTTATTATAGCAAACCTTCAGTTCCAATAATTTTGTTCATTATAATGAGGTTTTACTAATAGTTCACTATACTAAACTAAATTTATTATAGAAAAAATAAATTGAAGTAAATAAAAAAATTTACTATAATGAGAATTAATTATAATAAAGTTCACTATAATGAGCTTTCTAAGTCAATCATATTGTTAATAATAATAATATTCTAAAACTATAATAAACTTTTTATATAATAACTGCTGAATAGATTAAAAAACAATAAGAGTATAATAGTTATTTACTTTTGTTAGATAATTGCAATTATGAGAATAGTTTTAAATTCCTTTAACTCTTTAATGTATTAATGACAATTTTAAATAATTGACTAAGCATATACAATAAATAATAAAATTTAGTTAATCTTATTATGTTTTAAAATATCAAAACAATTTTTTGGTCAAATTATAAAATATTCATAAGTTTAATTCTTAATCATTAGCAGATATTACAGTAAAGTAATTTAGAATTCTGTACTAACTCAATTTTCAAAATTAATATCTCCATTTAACACATATAGATTACTATTATAAAAGTAATAAAATTTGTATATAAGAATAAATATATATGAAAAATAATAATTATAATAGTCCTATTAAATATAAAAAAGCAATATATTTCTTAAAGAAGGTTGCAAATTTGATTATTCAAAAATTATTTCAAAAGAAAAGTTTGTCAAATTATATAAGATATTCAAGTTTTTTCTAGATCTGAGCAAGATAAATTTTTAATAATCTAGTTAAAATAATAAATAGTAGAGAAATAACTATTAGTTAACATTATAAAAAGAAAATGCATACTAATAAAAAACTTTATTATTTGAGATTGTAATACAATACTTTGCTAGAAAATATATTTTAATATATTAGAAATAATATTTACTTTGAAAATATCAGAAATCACCTAATAATAAAAGGTATAATACTATGTATTTATAAAAAATTGCTGTGGTAGTAAACTAAAATAAATATTAATATAACTATTATTACTTTCATAAAAAATTTTTCTTAAACTATACTAAAGTTTATAAATTTTCAAATCTTAATAGAAATATCAACTAAATTACTTAATTGTTTACATTTTTGCTAACTAAAATAAGTTATAATTAAAGATAATGTTATAACTAGTTGCAACTATATGATACTTATTTATCATAGGATTGCAACTAGTTGTGATATTAATAAAATTAAGTTGTAACTAATTGCAACCTGTGATAAATAAGCATAACATGGTTGCAACTAGTTATAGTATTATCTTTAATTATAATTTAATCTATCATAAATTTTATTATAGAAATAATAATATGTTAAAATTATTAAAATATAATATATTTTATAAATTATAACATTAATTATTATCTTATATTTAAATTATAAATCTAAAAATGAATTTATGCAATTCGTATTAATTTTTATAATAGATTATAATATAATACTTATAAAAAAAAGCAAAAAAAAATTACTAAAAAATATTACATCTATTAAAGATATTGTATATCATATGATAATATAGATCAGTATATAAAATTTAGACCAAAAGTCATGTGCACAAATTATACTAAAAATAGAAAATTAATGCATATATTACATAGTATTTCCATTTTTATAAATAATTTAAACTCTTTCTCCCTTTTTGCAAAAATGCCCAAAAAAATAGAAAGAAAGAATACCAACCGCGGCCGCTTAGCGTCGCCAATATCAGACAAAATACCAAAAAAGAAACAAAATACACTGCAAACTTCAGACAACGACCTCTCTCTTACTTATGTAAAGGAACCTCTTGTAACTGTCCCTCCAGAAGAGACCAGCATCATGGAAGTTGACCTAGTCGAAGAAAGTTCATCCAACAACCTTGACAAAGGAAAAAGTCCTGATATCATTTCCTCAACTTCCACAACTTTTGAGATAACTGCACCCATACCAACAGTTAATGTCGATGAGTCTTTTGACGCGTCAGAAAATCTTTTAGATACTTCAACTATTGGTTTTGACGCTCCCTCATCGCATGTCACAAAATTTTTTGCCTACATCCAAATGGATAAACTCCTTAGCCCTAACCCCCAATTGAAGATCTCAAAGATCACCAATTTGTATTACGATAAATATAACTCATTCATTATTGCTACAAAAGGAAAACATCCTACTAAGAACAATCAAGCTATTATTAAAGTTGCCTTTTCGGACAAAACTGAACGTGACAAATTTTGTAAACACAAGTCTCCTGATATGGTTGATACCACGTTCCAACCCTTTGACATTAAAAAATCTGTGCCCTACATACCCGATCAGTTAATCACGGTAACAGAAATCCCTTTAGACGCCACAGAAAATAGACTACGAAAATTATTTTCCAAATTTGATAATATCGTCCGTTTTGCCATGGAGACAAAAAACCTTTGGCAACGAGCCACAATTACTTTTGATGAAAATGCCAATTTTGAAGAATTAAAAAAAGGAGACGGGATTTACCTCCTTAACAATATGATCTGATTCCATCCTTGCAGCTTATCTAGGCCTGAAATTCAAACTTGCTCTGCATTCTCAGCAAAACTAATAAATCTCCCCTGTAATGTTACACCACGTGACCTTTAAGACATTAGAAACATGGTCTCTGCTACTGCGTGAATTATCCCTAGAGCCTGTTCAAATTATAATTATCTGCAACATGCTTATTTTTACTTTTCCAACAAAGAAGATACCCTGGATGCTCTAGGAATAAAAAATTTAACCCTTAACAACAAAAAATTAGAATGGACTGACCCGAAAGTCAAACTTTGTGCAATCTGCTCTTCTGTACATCACAATGCGTCCACCTGTTCCAGACGTCGATAGTCCCCCAAGGATCGAAATACGCAAAATCTCTACCAGTGATTTTAACTAGCCTAATTTAATAACTACACAGCACCAAAGCGCAGTCCTATAAGAGGCGCTATTCGCAAAAATATTACATTCGCCCATGTGGCTAAAACTCCTCAACAAATCATTAATCCTCAAGAAGGACCAAAAAGGAGACTTCCCCCTCCACCACCACCAAAATCCAAACCTTATGTTTCTTCTTCCAATAACTCTGCCTCAGAAAAAAAGAATTTACGTTGGGCAGATGAACCAATTGATAAGTTTATGGAAACTGAAGTACTCCCTATACCTAACTTAGATAATGGTACAGTTAAAGGCGATTCGATTCATGACCCAGACTTTAAACAGTTTGTTACCTCTCAACTTACGTCAATCTCCAATACTCTTTCCGATCTTTGTGTTGAATTTAAATTTTCACAACGACTCGCTATAGTCGAAAATGCCTTTCACATTAAAGTCATCACTCCTGCCGAGACGGATAACTTTAATAATAACTTACCTGATATTGCCTCTGAAGCTGAAAAAAAATATCCACACATCAACACTGATCTTTGCATAACCTATCTACAAAAGCAATCCAATGAACAGTTAGTCCTCATCTGTCAAAAACAACAACAAAGAATCTCACAATTCACTCCCATACTTA